CTCAGTCCTTTCTTGAGTACTTGACAGCAGCTAGAAGCTCTGTGAGTTTAGGGATCAGGCTTTGTTGGGAAAGAACCAGGTAGTCAGAATGGATGGATGAGCAGACAGACAGGTGAATAAAAGAATCCCTGGGAACAGGGAAGAACCAAGTACAATAAAGGGCATCTGACATCTCTCAGCCTCTCTGTAAGGATAGCAGGTTTAAAGACTGTGAACTGGTTTAGGAAATGTTGGCTCAGAGTCTATCATATTGTGCAATTTCACTGTCAAGAATATAAATTTTCAAAATTAGATCTGAGCCTTTATTCCTCTATTTTCATGGGCAACTTATGCCATATATAAGGTCATATCTGATAGCAGTTTTCTGAAAGGAAGTTTGACTGGCCCTGTCCACTCAGGACTTCCTGCCAGCAAAAAGATACTACTACTGATAGGAGGCTGAATGGCACAGTGCAGCTCTCCTTGGTAAATGGAGGAATTTTCTCTTTGCTTTGCTTTGCTTTCCTTTCCTTTCCTTTTCTTTTCTTTTTTCCCTCCCTCACTCCCCTTCTTTCTTTTTTCCTTCTTTTCTTTTCTTTCTGCCTGCCTTCCCGTCTTCCTGCCTTTTACCCACCTGCCTGCCTTCCTCCCTCCCTCCTTCCCTCCCTCCCTCCCTTCTTCCTTCCTTCCTTCCTTCCTTCCTTCCTTCCTTCCTTCCTTCCTTCCTTCCTTCCTTCCTTCCTCCCTTCCTTCTTTTTCCTCTTATGGAAGAAAAATGGAAAGAAAGCTAGGAAAGGATGGAAGGATAATGACTTTGACTTTGTAGAATGGGGTGGAGGGAGAGGTCCAAGTAGGATGACAGCAGCCTTTAGCCCAGTAATTTGACTGTTTATTTCAGACTTTTACAAAGTGTTAGAGTAACTTAGGAAGATACCTTGTTTCTTGCTTGCTTGCTTGTTTGCTTTTCCTTTTCTTCCTCCCTCTTTCCCTCCCTCCCTCCCTCCCTCCCTTCCTCCCTCCCTTCCTGGCCTTCCTGCCTTCCTGCCTTTTGTTGTTGGGCTGGTCCTAGGGCTTGAACTCAGGGCCTGGGCACTGTCCCTGAGCTATTTTTACTCAAGGCTAGCACTCCATCACTTGAGCCCACAGCTCTACTTCCACTTCCAGCTAATTTTGGTAGTTATTTGGAGATAAGAATCTCATGGGCTTTCCTGCCCAAGTGGGCTTCAAACCACAATCCTCAGCCTCCTGAGTAGCTAGGCATGAGCTACTGGCCCTCCTATTCCTTCTTTTTTGGGGTTGGTCATGGACCTTGAACTCTGGACCTGGGCACTGTCCCTCAGCTTTTCAGCTCAAGGCTAGTGCTCTATCACTTGAGCCACTTCCAGTTTTCTGGTGGTTTATTGGAGATAAAGTCCTTGAGAGGACTTTCCTGCCTGGGCTGGCTTTGAACCACAATCCTCAGATCTCAGCCTCCTGAGTAACTGGGATTACAGGCCTGACTACTGGTATCTGGCTTGTGTTTTCTTAACACTAAATTTGTTCAATGTACGCTTGTTTCCTAGGAATTCTTCATAATAGCAGAACTGAGGACCAGGAAGACACTGGCTTCTAGGTAGACTGGTCTACTGTATGTTCAGGCTGTAATTTTTTAGTTGGCATTGTAGTAGAATCTCTGAAATACAGAATCACATTAGAGCAAGGTGGTATTTCTTACAATTTATTCCATCAAGTAATTTAATAAGGATTTTGGAAAGAGGAGCTGAAGTCTTTACAAAGGAAGGGAGGAGAATAATGGGGAGGTATTAAACACTTAAAGAAAGAGTTTACTTGTACTAATGGCCCTTGCTTTAATGTGGTAAACTTACTTATAAATAAAAGCCAAAAAGGAAAAACAAGCTGTGTTCAGTAGGTGTTCTGTTTGTTCTTTGTCTTGTTTTTTCTCTCTGAAGTATGGTGCTGTCTTGACGTAGGGATGTAACTGCTATGCATATTGATAGCAGCAAAGTCTTTTTCCCCCTATCTGGCCTAGTAACTAAAGCAGAAGGGATAAAAAGGGACAGGGAATTATAGACTCTGTGTGCTGTTTTTAGATTATCTTGTTCTCCTGGAACTCCTAAGTCTTGAAAACATACTGATGATGTACATTTGGTGGTCAGGGGCTGATGTGAGTACAGTAGGTTGGCATTTTTAGGGATTTTTGCCACTGGTTAAAGTAATAAAATACTTTTTTCCTTTGCACAGTCAGAATTCATCAGAGCCTTTTTGGATCTTCCCCCTCCACCTAGTAGCAAAGTCAGGCTTTGATCTTCAGTGCATTTGTAGTAGTGCAATGTAGATTGTATAGGATGTTTCCTCTGAATCATCCACTGTGGGTGTGCCAAGGAATGGATGACAAGGAATCTGGGCTGCAAAGAAGACAGACTTATGGCATGATGGGGTTTGTGTACTACCTGAAGAACATCTCCCTAGGATGCCCAGCCCAGAGACATGGTTGTAGGAAGAGAATGGTGAGAACTGGAAGGCACAGGTCAGGATAAGCCTGACTGGGACTGTAACTCTTCTACAGGACCAGGAGGCATGGTTATCAAAGATAGGCATGAGTTAAGCATCCCCCCCCCCCAGTCCAGTAGGTTGTGGGGCTTGAACTCAGGGCCTGGGTCCTGTCTGTAAGCTTTTTCACTCAAGGCTAGTACTCTACAACTTTGAGTCACAGCTCTACTTTGGTTTTCTGGTAGTTAATTGGAAATAAAAGTCTCCCTGGATGTTCCTGCCCAGTCTGGCTTCGAACTGTAATCCTCAGATCTCAGCCTTCTGAGTAGCTAGGATTATAGGCATGAGCCACTGACACCCAGTGAGTTAGATTCTTCAGGTTGTAAATACACTGATTGGGGTAACCTGTACTAAAAAAGAGTTTCTTTTTAAAGATCATTAATAATTTAGTTCTATTTTTATTATTATCTTTAAGTAGTTGTACAAAGGGGTTACCATTTAAGAAAACAGTTTATAAGTACAATGCATCTTTTGTAACTTTTTTTTTTTTGGTAGTGGGGCTTGAACTCTGGCACTGTCCCTGTACTCTTCAGCTCAAGACTGGTGCTCTACTGCTTAAGCCACAGCACCACTTCCAGTTTTCTAGTGGCTTATTGGAGATAAGAGTCTCACAGACTTCCCTGCTCAGGCTGGCTTTGAACTGTGATCCTCAGATGTTAGCCTCCTGAGTAGCTAGAATTACAGGTGTGAGCCACCAGCACTCAGTTTAACAATTATTTTTATTAAGCAGTTGTTCAAAGGGGTTACGATTTCAACAAATCAGTTTATAAGTACAATGTATCTTGATTGATGTCACTACTTTTATCATTCTGTCCCATCCCTTCTAACCTAACCCCTCTCCTCAACTTTACTAGTAAAAAAAGAATTTTATTAGACTGTTGCAATAGTGACCCAAGGATCAAAGAAAGCTTTGGAAGGCGGGTTTAAGAAGGACAGTGATAGCTGTAGGGCCAGGGCCGGAAAGGCTGATAACTGGCTTTTATATAACCAGCAGGAAGCTGAAAATCTAGATGATATTCTGTATGCACAGCCATGTTTGGATTTTTCCCTGGTGGCCAAGAGAGAAGATACTGGTGGCAAGCCATGGGGAAGTTCTGCCTGGGGCAGCCAAAGACAAAGGGAGAGGACTCTGGCAGCAGACAGCTTGAGCCTAGGGGTGCCTTAGGCAAATTTCATATTTAAATGTAAAAGAGTACCAGGCCTACTGCAAGTGAATATATATATATATATATATACACACACACATATATATACACAAATATATATACACATATATATGTGTATATATATGGTTAAAATATTTTAGGGAGTTAGGCCTGTGGGAAACATCTTGAAATAAATATTTTAAAAGACAATTCTAAAAATAAAATATTTCTTTTCAGAAGCATTTTCTATATCTTAAATTTGCATTTATAAAAATAAATCTACAGTAATGGTCACTTATAACACAGCAAAATCTCTTATAATTACTTTTGAAAAGGAAAATGAGGAAGAAGAAGGTAAGACTTTGGGCCTCAGCAGAGGGCAGAAGGTGGGAAATAGCTCCTGTCAGCTATGCCTTCTGTGATTTCAGGTATTTTCTGCATGCACATTTGAAACTCCCATGCCCCCACCAGAGCACACAGATATATATACATATATATATATATATATATATATATATATTCATATTCCTGTTTGACCATGTTGCTCTTGAAATGGAGTATGTAAAGAAAACATTTATAAAAGAAGGAAGTGTTTAGACTTGCTGGCTAAGGTGTTTTCCTCAGCGTGTAGAGTTGTAAGGGTTAGAACTGGAGAGATTCTCAGAGTCCTCAGCAGTGCTGACAATCATTTGGGAATGGTCACAAGGACTGAGATTTCCTGGGAAACTCACGGTGGCCTCAGCAGTGTTGGCCAGGGGGACCAGCATTCTAATAAACAAGAAGTGTTGGCCTTCTGAATTCACTCCCTTCTAGTCTGTGAATGAGGAGCAGAGGGAGTTGCCGAAGGTGATCTTGCTACTTGGTTCAAAATTAACTTTGAATTGAGAAGTCAGAGATCAACTCAAGACATCAGACCTATTTTTTTGTTCCTGAGGACATTCATTCCATTGTACAAAATCTTTGTTTTACCCTTGTACATTTCTGGACCTGGTCTGGGAATCTAGGAAGGAAAACATGCTGTGTTTTACAAATGTGTACAAATAACAAACATGCCTGTTATGACCTAGACAGACTTATCACACGCATACATCAGAACAGGTGGTAAATTACAGCCATGCAGCCTGGAACGAAGTGGATTCTACTTAGTTGCTTATGAGAAATTCGGTGTTAAAATGAAAATGCTTTCCTGGCCCAGGTGCAGTGTAATTGCTCTACTTCTCATAATAAGACTTTAGAGGAAAATGCTCCTATCTCTCAGATGTTGATTCTAATCACTGTTTCTCCTTCTCTCCCATTTTTGGTGTGTTTCTTTGTTTGTCTTCACAGGAAAAAGTAGAATATGCCTTCCTGATTATTTTTACAGTCGAGACATTTTTGAAGATTATAGCGTATGGATTGTTGCTGCATCCTAATGCTTATGTCAGGAATGGATGGAATTTGCTGGATTTTGTTATAGTGATTGTAGGGTAAGTCTCTCCTGTTTTGGGGGAAGTGTTTCTCTGGAAGACAGGAATTGGAGGGGATGCTGAAAGAAAACACAGCCTTTTAGAGAGAGCGTGCCAGTTACTGCACCAGGAGTAACCAGGAATTATTTTTTGTTTCTTTCCTTCAAGTAGCTGTACAAAGAGGTTTTAATTCAACATAAATTAATTAACTTATAAGTTATAAATTATGAGTAATTTTGCCTTCGTAACAGTGAGATATTCTGCCGTTTAACATCTCTTGAGCAGAGCTATTACTTTTTTTAATGTTACCTTTGGGAGAAACACTGGTACATGACTATCCCACTTTAAATAACAAACCAAGCATCTGAATAATGTCACATATCTAGCATACAATGAAATAAAATGTAAAATGCAAGCAGGGTGCCAGTGGCTCACACTTATCATCCTAACTACTCAGGAGGCTGAGATCTGAGTATCACTGTTAGGGCCATCCCAGTCAAACAAATCCAAGAGACTCTTATCTCCAGTTACCAGCAAAATGTCATATATGGGGGTAGAATAACAACCCTGAGTGAAAAAGCTGAGTGAGAGGCCCTGAGTTCAAGCCCCAATACACACACACACACACACACACACACACACACACACACACACACACACACCACACACACACACACACACACACACACACAATGCAGAGACAAGCAAGTATCCTTTCAAATTTTTTTCACAAGAAGAAGATAAGTTTTAGTTAAAACAGAATATTAAAGTGAAAAACAGAGGCCTGTTTTTCCTACTCCTTCAACCTGGACATGTTGACAGCTAAAGGAAATGGAATCAGTATTAAGGAAATGCTGAGTCTTTGGACAAATACTCACAAAGGAAGATAAGATGTGTCCTGTCCCTGAGCCTTAGTTACCCTAACTGTTGTATGGGTTGTTTCTACAATCATGTTCATTTCTGCAGAGATTTTAAAATAGCCTCTTTTTCCGTCTCCATGACTGTAGTCAGCTGCTTTTTGCAGTTGAGCAAATTGATTTTTTCTTTAGGATTTTTTAAAATCAAGGATCCTCTGCCCTAAAGACCAATTCTACTGTATATTGGGACAGTTGGATCAATTTGGGCCAGTCCTTTCAATCTAGGAAGTTAAAAATGGGATCCTAAGGGGTAGCCCATTGGGGGTAATTCGACTTGTGAAAGAGAAAGTTAGCTTTTTCAAAAATTACCATTGGCATCTAAAGTATCCTTGCAAGGGTAGTGTGTCTAAAATAAACAAGTGACGCTTAGGTAAAAAGGAAGAATCTTCCTTTGTTATAATGTGTCAAGAATCAGCAAATAGGAGTCTTGCAAGCATCTTGATTCTGTAGTAATTGCTGTTCCTTTCCTGGATTTTCTGTTCAGAGAATGCAGATGCTTAGCTCCATTTCTAATGTACCCATGCCATGATCACCTAGACTTCTTTCTGTCTGGAGATTATTTTAGATTCTTTGCCCACAATAACATGAAAAAGGGGCAGGTAACCAAACAAACATGTTGGCTGCATCAAGTTTATGAGGAAGAGACAAGAATTCAGAAGGACTGAATGCCTGAAATTGAGATTTGAGAAGATTGTGTGTGTCTGTGTGTGTGTGTGTGTATGTGCAGGTGTGTGCAGAGGGGGGGGAGGGAGGAAGAGAGAGGGAGAGTGGGAGTGGGAGGAGGGAGAGGATGAGTGCTCCATGGATTTGCCTTAGGAGTTCTGGCTGGAGTTTAAGCTGTACTTTTGGAGGATATAATTCTATGAAGCCAGGCGAAGAACATGGTTAAGGAAAAAAGAAAAGTGGGAGGCTGTAGAATGAGTAACCAGAGCTCAACAGAACTGAAAGATGGTTTAGTCAGGACTAACCGGAGTAAGAAGTCTCACTGAACATCCTGGACTATCTGTGGAGACCTCAGAAGGACCCTAGGGCTAACCTAGCTCCAGAACACAGTTTGGCAAACTATGGCCAGTGGGTCAAGCCTTAGGCCAACTAACCTGATGCCTATCTTCATAAATAAAAGTTTATTTTGTAACATAGCCACACTCGTAAGTTTACTTGACTTAGTTGGGTTTTAACCAAAATATTTACTATCTGGCCCTTTACTGAAAAAGTTTGCCAACAACCCCCCGCTTTATGGTAAAGGCTTCCTGAAATGTTGCTAACAGAATTTGGGAAGAAACCTGAAAAAGTGTGCACTGTGCAAGTAACTACCTGCCAAACTAAAATGCAGCACTCTTCAAAGAAAGCTAACCAAGCCTAAATACTTAAAAAAGTAACATTAAAATGTCTAGTATGCAATCAAATAATAATGAACAATGAAGTAATATATCCTAGAAGGAGGAAATTCTGTCTATAGAGTCAGACCCCAAAGAGATAGAGATGATGGAATTAGCAGAAAAGGGCTTAATGAGAGTTTAAAACATCTGTTATAAATATATTTTTATATATGGAAGGACAATATAAAAGAATAAGAACTGAAAAGCATATCTGAAATGAATAATTCCCTGGATTGGCTTAGTAGCATATTAGATACTAGCAAAGAAAAAAAAATCAGGAATCTGGAAGATATGCTAGCAATAAAATTTACAAGAATAATTAAGAAAAAATAGACACCTCATTTGGCTTTAGGTAATTACCAATTGGTCTAACATATGAGTCTCAGAAGGAGAGAAGGACAGGGAGAGATACAAGAAAAACCTTTGAAGAAATGGCACCAGATTTTCCAAATCAGATGAAAAAATATAAACTCACAAAGTAAAAATGTTCAACAAAGCCTGAGTAAAATAAATTGAAGAAAGCCATGTCAAGGCACATCAAGATTGTAATGAAAAAGTTAAAACCAAAGATAAAGAGATCTTAAACAGGAAAAGACATCTTAGACTTCTTCACAGTGATGCGAGGCAAGAGACAATAGATGGGTGTTTTTAATACCGAGGGAAATTCAACCTCAAACTCTTATTTTGGAGAATAACTCCCAAGATTGATGTCAAAATGAAAACTTTTTTAGAGAAACAAAAGCTGAGAATTCATGACTGAAAAGTTCTGAACTTCAGGAAATGTTAAAGACACTGAAGAAAAGTGGCAGCAGATAGAAATTTGGATCTTACACAAGAGTTAAAAACATGGGTAAATGTAAAGGTTCTTTTCCTCATCTTGAGATCTCTTTAAAAGTAATTGATTATTTCAAATAGAAGTAATAATCATAGATTGTGGGCCCTTCTACCATCCACAGAAAGTATAAGATACAATAACAACAGCACGAAAGTTAGGGAAATAATTACATGTACTTGAGATAGGGGAAATGTGCACTGTACTGATATCTGACTAGGGAATTTCTCCTTGGCATATAGAAAGAATTCTTACAGTTTAACAGCAAGAAGACAGCCCATTATATCAGTGGGCAAAAGATTTGGAAAACTATTTTTTTAATGGCCAGCAAGCCTCTGAAAAGATGCTGAATGTCTTAATTAATTAGAGGAATGCCAATCAAAACCACAATGACAGGATTATGTGTCCACTAAATGTGAAAATACCCACAATATCAAATGTCCACCAACGTGTGGAGAATTTCCATAGATCACATAGATATCATCACTGTAGAAAGAGTTTCCCATTTCTGCCCACCACTGGTGGCTCACACCTATAATCCTAGCTACTCCGGAGGTTGAAATGTAAGGATTTCAGTTCAAAGCCAACCAAAAAGACAGGACTGGAGCTGTGATTCAAGTGGTAGAATGCCAGCCTTGAGCAAAAAATCTTAAAGGTCAGTGCCCAGGCCCTGAGTTCAAGCCCCATTACTGGCACACATACAAAAAAGTTTTCCCATTTCTTATAGTGTTAAACACACTAAGTGATCATACCAGTTTTCTTTTAGGCATTGATCCAAGTTAAAGGAAAACGTGTCTACAGAAAGACATTCTTTGTAATAGAAGAAAACACTAAAAATAATTCAAATATGACAGTTAAAAGACAAACTAGGTAAATGTATGTAACTTAATGTTATTCAACAATGAAAAGAATAAATTTAACAACTTCTAGGAGTAAAAGTAGACAAGTAAAAGAAGATAATCAAAAAAGAGAATATGGTATCTGAGTCTATTTATATAGGTTCTAGAAGAGAAAACTCCTTACATAGAAAATAGCCAGTCAGTGGCTGGATGCCTAAGATTGGACCTGGAGGAAAGACTGCAGTGAAACATGAGAGAACTCAAGAGACTGGAAATATTCTATCTGAAAGCTTACATTTGTTACTTTAACCCATGTATTTGTCAAAATGTACCTTATTTTGCACTTAAGTAGGTTCATTATTTTACATTTATACATAATATATAATGTCACACACATTATATATTATAAACAGTAATAAAGTTGATTTTATTTATTTTATTTTTTTGGGTCCAGTCCTGGGGCCTGAACTCTGGGCCTGGGCGCTGTCCCTCAGCAATTCAGCTCAAGGCTAGCGCTCTACCACTTGAGCCACAGTGCCACTTCCGGCTTTTTTCTTTTTGTTTATGTGGTGCTGAGGAGTCGAACCCAGGGCCTCAGGCATGCAAGGCAAGCGCTCTACCACTGAGCCACCTTCCCAGCCCCTAAAGTTGGTTTTAAAAGTAAAAATAATCTTAAGTAATTTAAAATGAACTGGACTCAGCCTCTTTTTACCACTAAGTATGAAAAAATTAGAACATCAAGTTACTCTTTTATCTAAAATATGCACTAAATTATAGTCAAAGCAAGAGCAGGAGTTAAAAAAATGAAATCTTCATTTGATTTGGATTCCCACTCTCTAAAGTTTCCAACTATAGTCTGTATCTCAATCCAGTGGATTTTCAACTCCAGGTCTACAGTGACCTATTACTTTGTCAAGTCTCCCACTAACAAACATTAAGACATTAGTGGATATTTAAAAAATATTAACTCTTAATAATGTAGCCACAAGAGGACCCAGGGGACTGAAACCACTCCTTGAATGAAAAGTTTGATCTGAGTCAACTTTAATCTTACTCTTCTGATCTTTCAATAGAGACATTTCCAGCATTCCAGCTCATTACTTAAGCTTTTGTTAAGAACTTGGTGTCCTTATTGTGGTGCTCCTGACCTTTGTCAATGTGGGAAGTTCTTTGCCTTTCTCTTCTTCTTTTGGGGCTCTTCATAGCAATCTAGGCTCTAATGTTAAGCTTTGTCTCCTCTCTGTCTCTGTCTCTCACTCTCTCTCTCTGTCTCTCTGTTTTTCTCTTCCTCTCCCACTACCCTTCCCCCCTCTCTCTAAATGATGGTGCAAGGATAGAATTATAGGCTATGGGAATGGAAAGGACAGGGCTCCGAGTCCCTTAATTCAGTTTCCTCACTTTCAAGAGTAGGAAACAGAAGTCTCAAGAAGGAGAGGAACTTCTCTAAGGTCTCAGAGCTCTTAAGAATGGAACTAGCTCTGGACCCATCCAGATCCATGCCGTCTGGGAACCATAGCCAGCTTCTCCCTGACTCGGATTCTTTGGTAACAGGAGAGAGACATTATTCACCTGTTTTTAAGGACATTGTTGGAGAATGGGGAATGAAAGGCCCTTCAAGTACACATTGCCAAACACTGGTACTTGAAAGCCATCTTAAGTCACCACCTGTGTAAATTACTTTCCTAACTCTTGGGGATGAAAATTCCTGTGGCTTCCACATTTTGGAAAAGCTTGAAGTTTTCCTTCTTTCTTTTGGTTTATTTGTGTGAAGCCATAAACTTGTTTTGGAGGAGAGACTTTTAACATTAGCCTTGCTACAAAGGTTTACAATAATTTAAAATGCTATGCTAATGATAGCCTATCATAAATTTGATCTGTTTCCCAAGTACTAAGGAGAGAGCTAACATCAGAAGCTTTGAAAAGGTAGAAACCTGGCTTGTTTTTCCTCTTGGGTTCATGCTAATTGCTGTACTGTTATTAAAACAAAGAACTGGTCTATAAATGCCCCAGAATAACATGGCTGTGTCGAATCAGAACTGCAATCAGACCACCCTGTGTTTTATAGGCTTAGTGTCTTGGTGATCCAGAGGCCTGCCAGTGGGGGCAGAATTTCTGCTTTGTCTGCTAATTAAACTTTAGAACCTTTTCTTTGTTGCTGGGCCAGTCACTTCCACAATCTGATTGGCCAGAGTTGATGCTATTTGCAGTGGGCAAATTTATACTTATTCTGAAAAACGAGCAACAATTCCAAAGAATAAATATTTATTTGAAAGAGCAAAAGTAACTGTCAAATGAACAGATTGCCTGAAAATAGCTTTATCCAGAAAAAGTTCTGAAAGTTGGAAAACACTTAACCATGGCTGCCAGATACAATATTATTCACATTTCAGGAGAGAAAATGATGATATTAATACCTTCCCCTAGGTAACTGCTTTTAGCCTTTGCATACCACAGCTTGTTAGCATCTGTGATTTACATCATTCCCCAAATAGCCTTATGAGGCTGCAGGTGAGGGGTATGTGTGTCAGAGACTGTACTGGAAGTGGTATAACACATTAAGATGTGAGAATTTCAAGTCATTCATTGATGTATTCATCAAAAAATTGAAGCTGGGCATAGTGTTTCGCACTTGTAATCCTAGCTACTTGGGAGGTGGAGATTGGAAAGATTATACTTAGAAGTTTGCTTGGGTGAAAAGGTAGCAAGATTCAACATAAAGGCCAAGCATGCTTGCACATATATGATATACACCTATTATTTCAGTTATACTGTAGAAACAGGTAGGCAAATGGATATTTGAGGCTGGCCTGGGCAAAAAGCATGAGACTCTTATGTGAAAAATAACTTAAACCCAAGGCACTAGGGGCATGACTCAAGTGGTAAAGCATCTACCTAGCAAATGCAAGACCTTGAATTCAAACCAAATACCACAAAAGCAAAACCAAATTTCAAGCACTTCATATGTAGCAGAAACTAGACATTAGGCTAGAATGGACTAAATGAACAAAGACTAAAACATCCTGTCCTTATAGAAGCTACATTCCAAGGGGGGCAATGATACATGGATTCTAATGTTAGTTCTGCCACTTATGTGGGCTCAGCAGATTCCTTATTCCCACTGAATTTAAATGGACTTGATAATTCCTGAAGCACAATTTTGTAAGGATCATTGTTTGGGAAGTGCTTAGTGCATAGTGAGTGCTCTGGAGAGGTAACACCAAGGTCATTGTTGTCATTCAATCCCCACTTCTGCCAGGGTTGACCTTGCTCCTGCTTGCTCCATGGGCATAGGAGCAGTTAAGATAAGTTCCTGTTCCAGCTGGGTGCCCTCTAATCTTAGCTACTTTGGGAGGTTAAGAACAGGTAGATCATGGTTGGAGGCCAGCTCGGGCAGAAAAGTTTGTGAGACACCTTTCTCAAGCTATAGCTATGTGTTTTGTCATCCTAGGTATGTGGGAAGTTGAGATCAAGAAGACTGTGTTTCTAGCCCAGCCCCAGTCAGAAAACTCTGAGACTCAGTCTCAACAGAAGAAGTTGGGCATGTTGGTACATGACTGTGTTCTGAACTATGGGAAATAAAAAATACGATTGTGGTCCAAGCATGTGTCTGGGAAGGAAGTGAAACCATAGCTTAAACAAACGAACAACCCCCTCCAAGAATAGCAAAACAACAAAACAAAACTTAATCATGGCAAAAAAAAGGGGGGCTTTCAGTGGTAGAGTGGCTCTCTGCCTAGCAAGTATAAGGCCCTGAGTTTAAACCCCATGTACCACCAGGAAAAAAAAGAAAAAGAAGTAAAAATTAGTCTGTGGCCTAAGTGCTAGTGAAGTAAAAATTAGTCTGTGGCCTAAGTGCTAGTGATAGAGGGGTTAGGTTTGGATTTTGTAGCCCTAAGTTCTTGACTTTACTTTGCCTTACTGTTATTTAGGAGGCAGCCACTCAGAATTAGCCCTTGTTTAAAAATAACTATTTTATCATCCTGTTTTGCTTCCCTGGGTGACAGACTCCTAACATTTCTCTCTCTCCTCCTTCTTCTTTCAGATTGTTTAGTGTAATTTTGGAACAATTAACCAAAGAAACAGAAGGCGGAAACCACTCCAGTGGCAAATCAGGAGGCTTTGATGTCAAAGCGCTCCGTGCCTTTCGAGTGTTACGACCACTTCGACTAGTATCAGGAGTGCCCAGTAAGCCCTTTGTGTTTCCTACAGGCAGGGATGCACTAATCTTTTTCTTCTGGGTGGGTCTCAGGATTGAGAAACAGTGCTCTGAGGTGAGTTACCCACTAAGGGACCAGCCAGTGGGCTATGTAGGCCTTCATAGTTCACAAGATGTGTTTGCTTCACTGTCATTTTGGGTGTCTGTGACAGTTCTGAAAGGAGGACAGGTTGTGGTGATTGTCATTTTGCCTTTGCAGAGGAGAGTATACCTTCTTGCAGAGAAGTTGGGTGGTGGCTGGAGATCTTGGGTCCGAGGTATCCTGACTCCAGTCCAGTTCTCTCTGCAGGTGCATTGCCATCTTCTCCATGCTCAAAGCCTGCCCCTCTGAAAGTGATGGGTGATGTAGATGAGGGTGTTAGAAGGCTCAACTCACAGTGTTCTTTTCAGGTGGGGAGTTGGATGTGGCTGGACTCCTGGGAGCTTTGGCTAGCTCCCTGCCATTGGGCATTTGGGATTGAGCCTGTCCCACTGAGGGCAGGGAGAGATGAGCACTCAGCTTCTACATGTTAGTTCAGGGCACAGAAGCTAATGAGGTCATGAAGGAGACCCCAGGCAGTATGTCTGCAACACAGAGGAGGCTCTCGGGAAATGATAGAAAATGTAGATACCCACTGGGCCCTACAGTACCAGTACCAGTCAATGCCAGTTCTGAGCTTTAAGCTCAGAACTCCAGGCTGGAACAGCTATCCTGGAACAGATGTTATACCTGAGTTTGGAACAGATGTCCTGTCTGTGCTCCAGCCAGGAGCTGTAGTCCTCTTATACTTCCTATGAAGCATGGGGCTTGCCTCATTTGTCTGAATACTTCCCAGGTTAGGAACTTCAAAAAGTGGAAGTCCTAAACACCTTTTCTAGGGCCTTCTGGGATGGCTGCCTGCTCAGAGCTGGAGCAAGGAAACGTGACTGTGGCTTGTGTCTGTTTTCTACAACTCATAAAGCCATCAGAAAAGCACAGATTTTTTTTTTCTTTCCAAAAGTTCTTCATGAAATTTTATTAAACTTGTTGGCGCTCGGATTATACCAAAAATCCTCTAAAAAAAAAAAACAACAACCTGTTTCCAAATTTAACATTTTTAAATGTAGGAAGTGGTGTTTTATGTGTACTTATTTTTCCAGATGGTTCATTTATTTTCATTGAAAAAGATCAGCACAAGTCAGAAACCACAGAACTATCTGGAAGGAATTGGGGAAAATAGAAATACCTTGGAAATGGCTGGCTGTGTTAAATGTAACATGATTAAATGGGAAGTTCAGTGAGCAAATATGTTCTTCAGATTTGTTATAGCTTCATCAAATTTCAAAGAAACTACAACAGCCTTTTTTCCCCTAAAGAACAAATGGCAAGACAGCTTATCTGTGGCACCTGCAGTGTGCAGGCTCTCAGGGTTAAGGCTCTGGCCTGCCTGAAAATTTCCAGCCAATGGAAACGGTCAGAACTGACATAGTGCATCCTGGCTCTGCAGGCTTATGATCCTTCTGCCAATGGACAGTACATGGTGCACCTAGATGCTCACTGAGCCATTCTCATCTGTATTTCTTCCTTCCACAAAGTAGCATCTCACTCTCCCACAAATCAACAGGGAGAGTCCAAGTCTTTATGTGAAGACTTTAAAACCCATATTTGAATTGCCTGGCTAAGAAATATGTGATACTGTCCTCAAATGCAAATAAGTTTGGGGGTAAAAAAATTAGGGAGTTCTATGCAGTGCTGTATGGCAGCTGTGACACAAGGATTTCTTTAGTATCTGAAATCCTTGAAAAGGTCCAGGAATGTTTGACTTTTACAGTTATCTAAGAATTGTCGACTCCTTTCTAAAAAGATTTTAGATGTTCTACAAGATATAATTTTATATGCATGTGTGCATGGGAATATGTAGTCATTAAATGAAAAGCAACTGTAATTCAGAAAGTAGTTTCAAACATTTGTGAAATTCTTGAGTATTCATGCCCAGTTAGCCATAAATCCAAACTTATCAAATAGGAAAGAACCCTAAATATCCTATGGTCCATTTATGTCTTCTTTTAGATGAGTAAACTAAGACTTGTGGAGTTTAGTGACTTAAAGCTCTCTCAGCTGGTGAGCAGCTATATAAGCCCAGACACACATCTTGGTCCCTCATTCTTGTCCTAGTATTTTTTCTACTTCCTCCTGTATCTCTTTGATTAGGGTTCCATGAGATCTACCAAACATATTATGCTCAAAGTAGCTGAATGTAATCAAAGTGTACATGTTCACATGTTCACAACTTCATTATCTCATAAATTTGACCAATCTAAAATATAATAGTTACATTATATGTAAAAATATTCATGAAGCACTGGCTTATTACCATAGAATTTAAGAGCTCAATGTTGGATGATTTTGGATGGCCTTTCTATGTCTCAAAAAAAAAACCCCACAACTAACAACAACCTCTAAATAACAACAGAAAATAATGTTCAAGGACATTAGAATCAACGCCCCCTCCCATATATACCTTTTAAGGGGTACAAATACTGAGCATCATTCTGTTGGTAATTTTTTCCAAAAGAAACCATTCAAACATTTAAAGACAATACCTGGCATTTTAGTTTAAAGAGTCTTAGGGAAGACAAAGTCTGGCTGTGTCTAAAATCTGCTCATCAGTTTTTCTACCCTGACTTGTCCCCCTGCCTCTTCCCACAGGCTGCTTTTCATAGAGAAGTTTTCTTTTCCTTTTTCTTTTGCTGATCCTTGGACTTAAACTCAGGGCCTGGGCGCTGTCCCTGAGCCTCTTTGTGCTCAAGGCTAGTGCTCTACCACTTGCCACAGTGCCACTTCCAGCTTTTTCTGAGTAGTTTATTGGAGATAAGTCTCACAGACTTTCCTGCCAAGGCTGGCTTCAAACCTTGATCCTCAGATAGCAGCTTCCTGAGTAGCTAGGATTACAGGCGTGAGCCACAAGTACCTGGCTAAACTCTTCTTCTTATTGCTGATTAGCTTGCTTCTCTTTGCATGGTTTATTCTCACTTCTAAGTTATTCAGTTTCAAGATTCTTCTTATTTCTTTTTTTGAATAGTATAGAATAAAGGAGGAAATACTAGAAAAGAGGTGGTTGGAAGAGAGACCATGAGACAATGAGGAAAGGGAGGAAGGCAGAAAAGAATGAATGAAAACAGACAGAAGCTGAGGTCTTGGAGTGGTGGGAGAAACACAAAGGTTAGTTAGGATGCTAATTAACCACTAAGCCAGGAAGCCCAGATTCTAGTTTGGGCTCTGGCTTCCTGCCTCTTCTGCTTCCTAATCCTAACCTTGAGTGATGTCCTACCATCCTGCTTCTGTCTTTTTTTTTGGTATTTGTACCTGCACCATGGCGTTGAGTACTATCCACTCACTTATCTCTCAAGCTATCGTCTTAACATTAGGCCAAGCATCCAAAATCAACAGGTCTAAAGTCTCTCTCACCTTTCTGCCCTCCCTATCCACCTCCTTCTTTTTAGGGGACTTCCATTTGAAATACCTGCTTTTGTTCGGAGCACTACAATTTGCCTCTCACCCTAGACCAGATCATTAGTGTGCTCTGTAGGCACCTTCTTGTCATTTCAACCAGTTTTTGGAGCTCTAGTCTCATCCTGATCCTCATTCTGACCTACCTTGAGAGTCCCAGCATCTTCAACTACTTTGCTTATCTTGCCTCCTGTTGTCCTGTCCTTCTAAATGCTACTTAGAAACCTTTGAAAGTCAGTCTTTTGCTCATTGAAATTCAAAACCCAGAATAAGGAAATTGAGCTGTGGTTCAAGTGGTAGAACGTTAGCCTTGAGCCAGAAAGCTCAGGGACAGCACTCAGACCCTGAGTTGAAGCCCCAGGAATCAATCTCTCTCTCTCTCTCTCTCTCTCTCTCTCTCTCATTGTTTCTCAAACACACACATACATGCACACACACACACACACACACACACACACACACACACACACACACACACACACACACACACACACACACACACACACACACACACACACACACACACACACACACACACACACACACACACACACACACACACACACACACACACACACACACACACACACACACACCCTCCAAAACAGAGTGATTAGTTGCAGTCCACCTCTCTTTTCTGATATTCCTTTCCATTGAATGATCACCGATGATCATTCCATTAAGTGATCACTGATGACTGAGCTCACATTGTACCTACCCACTTCCATGCTCTTGGTGCTGAATTCCTGTTGCATGCTTACCTGTAAACTTCTCAGCCTTTAGCTCAGCCAGGAGGAAGCTGCTTCAGAGTCACCTTTCCTCACGAGAGGCGATGTCTTTCATTTCTCTTTAATTTTTATTTTCTGACATCACTTACATAGTATCTCTGTGCCTCCTGAGGGTAATTTGTGTTAAATTCTATGTTTCCTTCTAGGATATAACTTATTTGAGAGAAGCTTTTTATGTAATACATGTTTCTATTGCCCCAAATCACTAGTCATATACTTTTTATGTGGTCATTTGGAAGATTTTGTTGAATGAAGGGAAACAATGAATGAATGAAGCTGGGTCCTGGTGCCTCATGCCTATAATCTTAGCTACTCAAGAGGCTGAGATCTGAGGATTGTGGTCCAAAGCCAGCCAAGTCAGAAAAGTCTGTGAGACCACTATCTCTAATTAATCATCAAAAGCCAGAAGTGGAGCAGTGGTTCAAATGAGAGAATACTAGCCTTGAGCAAAAAAGTTCAAAGAGAGTACCAAGGCTCTGAGTTCAAGTCACAGGACTTACCCCAAAAAGAAACAAACAACAAATATATAAATGAGTGAATGAATGACTTTGACATTGACTGTCCCTCTGAAGGCTTTAGTTTTTTCCATCTGTTTAGTGAGGTAGTTGTTTTAGCTCATTTCACAACCAGTCTCAGTATTAATTTTGTTTTGAGATATCTGAGTTTTATTACTGTATGTCATCAATAGAGCAAGCATCATTAGGAATAATATATATGCTTAATTTGAATTGTCATCTTGGCTCACAAACTTATTTTTCTCTTCCCTAGGTTTACAAGTTGTTCTGAACTCCATTATAAAAGCCATGGTTCCCCTCCTTCACATAGCCCTTTTGGTATTATTTGTAATCATAATCTATGCTATTATAGGATTGGAACTTTTTATTGGAAAAATGCACAAAACATGTTTTTTTGCTGACTCAGGTGAGTAATGAAACTGACAACTGACTAAGTTTTTTAAATTGCTTTTGTCAAAAAGAAGTTTTGTGCTTTGGGGAAAATCTTTAAACACACACACACACACACACACACACACACACACACACACACACACACACACACACACACACACACACACACACACACACACACACACACACACTATTGGGATGGGTGGGGGGCTAAATGTACCAGTAAGTCTCCCAAGCCAGTTCTTAGTGTGAATTATGTTCAGTATGAATGAGAGCTTATTTGACTTTTGCATCCTGATTTCCTATGGAATGTGTGCTAACAGGCTAGATGAGGGACTACCATGAGATAAACCAACAATATGATATTATATTCACTTAAGAAAGGTGCTCTAAAGTTGAGAACAGGGCAAAGAGCAATGGCTTGGTCATGAGTAGAGGAAATGATGAATTCACTAAAGAGGGAGTATTGGAAGTGGACCTTGAGGAGGGTAGCAAGGACTTTGAGATGGCATAGGTTAGAAGAATCTTCTAGGCTTGGTCAAGAGTCCTGAGCTTCCACTATTATTTCTCTCTGGAGTAATGCAGCCTGCTTCCTTTGTTTACAGATATTGTAGCTGAAGAGGACCCAGCTCCATGTGCGTTCTCAGGGAATGGACGCCAGTGTACTGCCAATGGCACAGAATGTAGGAGTGGCTGGGCTGGCCCAAATGGAGGCATCACCAACTTTGATAACTTTGCCTTTGCCATGCTCACTGTGTTTCAGTGCATCACCATGGAGGGCTGGACAGATGTGCTCTACTGGGTAAGCAGCTCAAAGAGAGCATTAGGGCTTGTTACTCCCCTAACGTTTCCTTAGCAAAAGCATTGGAAGGTCAACTAAGAAAGAGACCCTGGAAGTCAGTTCTTTGGAAAGGGAAGCAGATTTTGTTTTTACTAAGAGAACCTCATCATCCTGCTCTCTCAGGCAAAAGTTTCAGGAAGGGATCCAAAGTATGTTCCATATTTTCCCATTAGAATCTATCTACTTTGGATCCATTTCCTGTTTCCTGTAGCTTAGAAAAACCTTAGCCCATATTGTGCCTTTTTTCCAATTATAATTAGCTCAGCACAGGGCCATAGCGCTCTTCCTTTTTCTGTGCAGCTGTAGAATTCTAGAAGAGAGGGTAGAAAAGGTGATCAAATTGCTAGGATTGTCTCTAACAGTTGGACACCCTTGTAGTGATAAGGGTCTGATCCTCTTGTTCCTGACAAAGCCAGAGGGTTTTCTGTAAATAACATAAGGTAGTAAGAACACATCCTTTGGCATGTTTGTGTATAAGGAAAAAAAAATTAAGCCCATAGAAGTTTAGAAATTGTTTGGAGCTACTGGGGAAAATAGCTAATGTAGAGTTTCAGTCTAAATTCCAGCCCAAATAGCATTATCTAGGATTCAAAAAATGAGTTACTTAGAGGAAATTAGTAATGAAGTACTTCTTATATGGGCACCTTTTAGATAAAAGACCTAGAAATTGAGAAGTAGATTCTAATGGCTTTTAAGTTCTAAACTTTACAGGATTTCATATTATTTCATAACTTCAGAAAACCTATATATGATAGTTACATATAGGTTTTGCTTCTCTTATCCAATGAATACTATGTTTACCAGATTAAAGCAAAGTCTTGTACAGTCAGCCCTCCATATCTGCAGCTCTGCAGCCATTCATTCTACATCTCTTGCTTTCAACTGCAGATTCAAACTATTCGAGAAAAATACATTGTACCTGCACTGTGCCTATACAGACTTTTCTCCTGTTATTCCTAAACAATACAGTATTATGATTATTTAAGTCATATTAAGGAATTTAATCATCTAGGGCCCAAAGTATATGAAAGCTCCCCTGAAAAACTAATGTAATCTCAATAATAAATAGGCAGAAGTATATATGAAAGGATTTGATAGGTCATATGCAAATACTGTGCCATTTTATATAATGAGTTTGAGCTCTGCAGATTTTGCTATCCCAGGGGTGTGAGGTTCTGGACAAATTCCTGCAGATACTGAGGGATGACTATATATTCAATGTTAGACAAAGAAGGAATGTTTCTATCTTTAGTGTCTAAAGTATTATAAGATTTAAGCATCACCAACTTGTTATACCTTGTTTGTCCTTTCTCCCTTTTTCTGACTGTTGTGGGAATTGGGTGTCTGTATGTGTGTGTATGTGTGTGTGCGTGAGTAATCACATCTGTTAATTATATTCCTAAAACAACACCTTTCCATGGAAAGGAAGATGACATTATATTGGATGGGCTAATATAGGCACAGGGACTCTCAGGTTAGGTGAAGAGTCCATTTTCACATTTATCTCCTAAATTATAACTCCTACTCAGTGAAGTCTTAATCTTAGTGTTCCTTTGAAGTTTCTGATAACTAGAAAAGGCATCATCCAAACAGCTCCATCTCTGATTCTTTCTCACAAATAGCAGAGAAAGCAACACTTTGATTTTTTAAAAATAAAAATCAGTGACTCAGCTTTGTTTTGTTTTCTATTGTCATGGTGAATTGACAACTGCTGATCTAACATGCCTTGACTAATGGACGATTTTATACTTTATGTTGTATTTCTGCACATTGATCTTTCACAGCAATTGTCCTGTTGTCAAACAGCAAAGCTCTGGGAGTATGTGATTAAAGCAGAGAAAACTTTGTGCACCCAGAAACAAAAGTTTCCACTTGCTTTCTTGAGCTCTTTAAAGTATCACCTAGGATGACACAATTATTATTTTTATTGTTAACATGACAACCACATAGTCAATAATTTGACAATATAATGACATTCTCTATAAATTACACAACATCTTGATTCTGTTGGAGTAATTTATAAACATTAGTCTAGTCCTTTGGTAGATTATCTAGAATCTTAAAGAGGCAGTGGGTATAGAGAGGCCACTGAACAACTACAGCAAATGGTTGTGATCCTTGCTTGATCTAGAGCAGAGGGGTCTGTATGCTTTTTTTTTAAGGGGCCAAATAGTAACAATACTTGGCCTTGCAGGCCTTGTGGTCTCTGTCTCAGCTATTGAACGCTACCATTGGAATTAAGATTCAGCCATATACAAATGAATGGGTATGGCTGTATTCCAACCAGACTTCATTTACAGACCCTGACATTTGAATTTTATATGACTTTCATTTGTCATGTAATATTCTTTGAATTTTCCCCAGTCATTAAAATGTAAAAGCCAATTTTAGCATGGTGGGACATAAGTTACATTTGGCCAATAGTTATAGTTTAAGAATCTATTCCAGGCATAGAGTAGAACCCAGTACTTGTTCCTTGGCATTCTTCCACTTGTCAGTAGTTCATGAATCCCTCTAGAACACTAGGGGGCAGCTAAGTAATGTCTTCTGGAGTGTTCTCCAAGATCTAACTTTCTGAAACACATCACGATTAGTTCTAATTACTTGTTGATTGCATTTATTAACACATCATAGAGATGGGCAGGAGCCAAGGAACCAGGTCCTCCTAATATTTTATGGTCCATAGTCATCTGGAGGCCATTCAGCTGTGTCCCAGAACAGAACATCCTTGTGAAGCACAATGTCTGGCACAGAGCAGGTACTCAACAAATACAAGGGCCTTACCATCCTTCAAGTATCCCAAGCCCATTACCTCACCAGTGTAATGGGCCATGTCTCACTATCTATTTTTATCCACAAAGTAGGAAATAAAAGAAAATCTTGGGAGATAAATGAGTTTCAGTTTTAAATATTGATTGCAGGCAAATGTCTCAATTCTTTAGGCAGTTGTATGTGGTGGACAAAGTCATGTGGGAGATTGTTTAGATTGAGTTTAGATTCAGTCAGTGTTCTCAAGGTCAGTTACACTATCATTCTCTGCTAAATGGCTGGTAGATGGCTGGCAGGGTCTTAGCAATGGAAGCACAGTGGGTTCCATATTCAGAAAGGCACTCTCAGAATCCAGGCACCAGTGGCTCATGCCTGTAACCCTAGCTACTCAGGATCCTGAGATCTTGGGATTATGGTTCAAAGCCAGCCCAGGCAGGAAAGTCCATGAGACTCTTATCTCCAATTAACCACTTTAAAAAGCCTGAAGTGGATCTGTGATTCAAATGGTATAGTGCTAACCTTGAAAACAAAAGTTCAGGAAGAATTTTCAGGCCCTGAGTTTAAGCCCAGGACTGGCAGGAAAAAAAAAAAAGAAAAAAGAAAAGGAAAGAAAGACACATGTAGAATAGAACTATTTGGATATGTTTGGGGAGTGAAATCTTTAACTTCTCATAAATAAATAAAATCATTGTAAAGCTCTTTTATAAAATGAACTCCATAAACCCAATTAAAGTGTTATTTGACTTACACATATTTGTTGCCCACAGACAGTAAGGGTCAGTAAAGAGAAAGATCATCAAGGCTACACAAGGTTGATTGTGTGACCTTGGGCAGGTCATTGAATCTCTCTGGGCTTTTATTTTCTTGTGGCAGAGTTCAATCTATTTTTTTCCTTTACCTTAGAAGAAATGTGTTTTTTTTCTTCAATCAGAGGAAATATTTTTAAATCTAGGAAATTACTTTAATATAAAACTATGATTTTAGGAGAGAGCTATCCGCCTAAGTCTTTTATGGCCTCTTGTCTGGGCAGTACACTCTTTCCTGAATGATGCAGACACCTGTGGACAGCAGACTGTCAGACCTTAGAAAGAACTACTTACAGACAAATGAGTCTCCTCCATTCAGGCACGTGGGAAATTCCTTTCTATATCATCAGCCCAGCGTTTGCCTATCTTATATCTCATGCTCTGGAGAGCTACAAGCAGAGCACTAAGTTTCTAGTACTATTTTCAACTCTTAGAAATGACAAAAGGCCTAAGTTGGTGTTCAGTTTGAGACACATAGATGCATTTCAGCATTTAAAATGAGAAGGAACTGAAGCTAAGTAGAAAATTATTTGTTGAGCCCCAGCTGACACTGCATGATGATTCTGATATGCTTTAAAAGATTAATCTAAATCGAAGTGCTTTAGCTCATGCTGATTTCCCCATTGCCGATAAAGACCTTGCAGGCAAAACCCCCAAGTATTGTATCTTAATATATCTATTTTGGGGAACTGCCTGACAGTTCTGACCTTTTTTTAAACATGTATATAAAGTCTAAGAAATATTTATCTCTGAAAAGGGTCTTGGTTGACAAGGTTTAGTTGTGGGGAAAGCCTTTGGAGCCTAGCTTTTTTTTCTCTTGTCTGCCTTCTGACACAGTTAGAATCTCATAGGTTTTGTCTAGCTTCAGCTTCCTCCCAGTGCTCAGCTGTCATTCCAGGTGATATTGCTGATTGGAGCAAATGTTAATCTGCTGAGTACATACTCCCAACAAGTTAAAATAATTTTTATTTCTTTAACGAAAAATTCCCCTCCCAAGTGGAGCAGACACCTGCTACTAGAGCCATACTCTGGAACTGAGGCCTGAAGGAGCAGATGACCTGGTCATCTGACTTAGCTAGAGTTGTAGAGTAGTGAGGTTTCATAATGGTAGCCCTGCAGCGTGTATCTTCCCTTCCCTGAGAGCCAGTCTCTCCCTTGCAATATGCAAGTCTGTTCCAGAAGGGAAAATTGTCCCAAAGAGGTCTCTGTCACAGGTATTGACTTGAGACAAGGCTCTGGCCACCATACCAAGCAGCCTATTCTTCTCCACACATGAGTTTTTATTTTTTGTTTTTTAGTAAGTTCTGTGGCATAGTTGCTTTGAAAGAATTGCCCCCTGTCTTCCTGCTGAAATTAGTTTATTCAACTTAATTAGATCAACAATTGCAGCCATGGCCCTGGCTCATTCATTACTCTAATTGCCAATGTAAGATGTGCAGACTGATATGAGTTCTATTAAGCACATCAATTTTCATGTGGCCAAACAGGTGTTTCATAAGGGATTTAATGCCCTCTCCCTAGACGTTAGCAACAGATGTTAGGTAATTTTTTTAAATGTTCTCTTTTCCTGTTTGGCTTCTGCATGAGACAAACATTGTGAAATGCATGAGCCTCGCTCTGTAAAGCTGAAACCCAGAGCCAGATAATATGCAGGAAGGCGCATGCTTAAAACCCTAAGGGCTTGTACCTGTAAGTTGTGAGCGATGACTCTGCTCAGATTATTTATTGAGAAAGGATTCTGCATGTTCCAGCAGGGTCATGCCTAGGCTCATCTGTTCTGTTGCCTGACTGGTCCTTAATACTTTCTTCCTGGGAGAGATGTTTGCCCAATTTTACACTGACCTGTACTGCTAGGAAGTGCTATCCAGCTGTGGTTCTTAAAGCACTTGCTTCAGCATAAAAGCTGCTCATTATCAAATTTTCCTTGGAAATTTCTCGCAAGGAAGCCATACCTTAATGTGAAGCTTGAGCTTGTCTAGGAGTAAGCTCAGGGTTCCTCTGGACCAGTTCTTTTTTCACCTCTAATCCCAGAGCTCACAGCAGGAGCAAGAGGGATGTGGGGTGGTGGTGAGAATGAAGTAAGATCTAGGTTAAAGCCTGCTCTGAATGCTAGGGAGAAAAATCCCATTCCCTAAAAGACTTCTGCGTATGTATTAGCTAGTTGACCTCTGAGACTTTTTTCATGTCTTCAGTATGTCAATTATTTTTTAATCTTTATTGTCATTATAAAGGTGATGTATAGAGGGGTCACAGTTATATAAGTCAGATAAAGAGTACATTTCTTTTTGAACAGTGTCACCCCTTCCTTCAGAAGTCTCTCTGTTTTTTCTTCCTGTCACCACCCACAAGTTGTATAGTTCATTTTCACATAATGTCTAGTGAGTACTATTGCTCCTTTAGTTGTGCTTTATTCACTGATAATAATCCAGCTTTTACAGTGGGTTAGGTTTCCTTGAATAGATTGGCTTACAGTAGAACCATGTCATTTCAGAAGACGTTTTTTTTTTCTTTTGCTAGTCCTGGGGCTTCAACTCAAGGCCTAGGCACTGTCTCTGAGCTTCTTTTTTGCTAAAGGCTAGCACTCTACCTTTTGAGCCATAGTGCCACTTCTGAGTTTTCTGAGGTACTGAGGAATCAAACCTAGCGCTTCATGCATACTAGACGAGCACTCTACCACTAAGCCACATTTGTAGCCCAAGAGTCAAATATTACAAGTTTGTCTATATAACTAAGACTTTATGCTATCACAAACTGAAAATTTTTTGTAATTATCTTTAAGTAGATGTACAAAGAGTTTCAATTCAACATGTCAATCTATGAGCACTCTGTATCTTGATCAATGTCACCCTATCACAAATTTTAAAAGGAAAGTTAATACAACTTAGACAGCACAGTAAATGGATTCTAGCTAACTAAGCACTACATTTGCCTCTATAAGACATCTTCTGAAAATAACTTAATCAGGACAGTTTCCTGAGACAAAGAGCCAAATTCCAGTTCATTTCTCTACTCAGATACATGATTTTATATTATTTGGCCTGAAAACTTCAATGGCTTTTCTTTTGTGTGTTTTGGTAGGTATGTTTGTATGTCCGTATGTGTGTTGGGAATATGAAACAAGTGTGTCTTGGCTTCTATTGTCTCTGATTTCAGTCTAAGTAAATGTTTGATTAAATGTATAGAATGCTGTCTCTAATGTGTCCCTCTCTCCTTACTAGATTGTCCTATTAACCCACTCCTCTGAGGCCATCTCATTTCTTGCAGATGAATGATGCTATGGGATTTGAATTGCCCTGGGTGTATTTTGTCAGTCTCGTCATCTTTGGGTCATTTTTCGTACTAAATCTTGTACTTGGTGTATTGAGCGGGTAAGCTACACCTCTTTCATCTTGAAAGCAGAGTCCTGAGGACAGTTGCCAAGACCACACAGACTTTACTAGAGGGGGCCGCAGAGTGGGTGCCAAACACTTTATGTCTGCTTTGAGATGTGTTTTGTTTTTTTTTCTGCTGAGGCTTCCCAAATCAAGCTGTTTCCTGGAACTTTACCAGCCTTCATGAAAGAAAGTTATAGAATAATTATCGAACAGAAATTAATCCGCATTGTTGCTTGGAATTTAAATAGTTTCCATTGCTTGCCCTTTTGTCTGTCTTAAAATGAGATACATTTATAATTGCCTTTTTGGTCTGGATCCAAATACAATGCACATTAATTGGTGAAAATCTGTAGTTAAATGAACTGGGCTGTGCTGACTCTTGGTAGACCCTTTTTGTAGATTTCTGCAGCAGAGCTTGTCCTTACTTGAAAAAACTTTGGAAGGATGTCGGCCCATTCCCTATCTTGGGAATTCTGACCTTTAGCCTAAGTACTGAGTAGTCTGGCAGCTGCGTCTGGGGCTCTGCTCTTTGGTAAATGGATAACTGATAACTGATTTCCTTACATTTTACAGGTAAATGATGCGATAGGATGGGAATGGCCATGGGTGTATTTTGTTAGTCTGATCATCCTTGGCTCATTTTTCGTCCTTAACCTGGTTCTTGGTGTCCTTAGTGGGTAAGCAGTTGGATTCCTGTTGCACATTCTCCAGTTGCCATGTGCAAGGCAGCTCTGCGTGTCTCCCAGCTGCTCTCTGATGGCTTCTCTGCATGTGTTTTGGACTCTGATGTCCCCTCAGTGTGTTGCTCTTGGATTGAACTGTGATTCTTTCTGCCTGTATCTGTCTGTGAGATTCTGTTCCTCATGCTTGCCAAACACTGTTAATTTAATGAAAATGTTTTCCTAAAGCATTTACTAGAGGTGGATTACAAATGAGTAAAAGGCTTTTCAGCATTTGTCTCCCCCAAGCAGGGACTTTTGTCTCTTGTGGGTCTTTTCATGAATACATAACCTAGCCCCCTTTTTAGTCATGTTCGGGCCATTATAAATACTTCCAGTAGTGTTTCAGATTTTGTTATGGAGGAGAAATAAACCTAGATTAGTATATAAATATGTAGCAGTTTCAAAACCTTATTTCCTGAGATTATAATCCTTTATTAGCTTGGGTTTTTGGTTGCTGTAACTGTGTGGTTTCCCCTTTTACTTCAGTTTTAATCATACCTCATATAGTCTTTTCTTAATGCAGAATGGTGATCAGATTTTGCACATACATGTCTTAGGGCCTTAATCATAGTCCTCATCCTGTGGCCATGATTTTTCAGGTTCATTTTGTTTAACCCCTCATCTCCAGACTGACTCTCCATTCAGAGAGCTTAGTGGAGACTGATTCAGAAAGGGGATACCTGTGTTGTAGGGCTGTGCCCTGCCTGGGAAGGAGGTGCAAACCAGAGCCCCTGTGGGCAACCAGGCATCCCAGGAAGGTTCTCATAGAAGCAATCCTGGGCTGTCTAGGCTTGCTGAAGAGCAGTTCAGCCTAAAGCCAATGTGACCAGAAGGTGGAAGTGGGCACCTGAAGGTCCAAGAGGGGCTCTTGTCCCTCTGAGGAGCCTTTCTCCTGCCCTGAGCTCTGACATTCATAGGAGAATGTTGATGGACTTGATTCCATCTAGTTTATTTCCTCTCGCTCAACTTACCTTGCTCTTTCTGACACTGTATCTTAGGGAAGTGATGTCTTCATCTATCCCAGGTTAGTAAAGAGCCCTTTATTGAATTTTTTGAAATATTGCCTTTTGCAGAATGAAAGAAAAGACTAATTCCCTATCCTGGTTTCCTTTCTTCACACTTTTCTCAGCATACCCTACCTGTACTTAGGAAATATGCACTACAAAGTCCCAGATTGAGAGTGAGCAATTCCGTACCACGGAAACACAGCCCTGTTAAATCTCTATCCAGAAAGGGCCTAGGAGTAGTACTTCTCACCCCGCATTGAGAGGACTGAGGGCCAGGTCTGAGCTGGAGCAGCACTGCCCTCTTTCCTGCCTGAGCCTTCTTCTACCGAGAACTTTCAAAGACTTTTCTCTTAATTAGCCTCTGTGGTGTCAGGTCAGAGTCAGGTAGTGAGAGTGGCATTTAGCCCTAAAAAAAACTTTGCCACAGGAACTGTCCATAAAAGGTTAACAGCAAATGTGTTGTGAATTCCTTGGCGCCTCATGTCTCCTAGGCCCAACCAAACTGACGGAGGCCATGGAAACCACTAATTTTAACAGTGCCAGTGACATGCCTTATCTGTAGCTTCTTGAAGCAAGAACTGTTACCCTAGCATGATGAAGCAGAAGTATGAGCCAAATTGTGAGGTGCTTAAAAAAATTGGGAAAAGATAGGGGGACTTCTCATTGTATTGATGGGGCTCAGTGTAAACCTCATTGTCCTCCCCACCCCCATTCTAGCAATTCCCTGAGCTGCTCTGCTTGGCTACATCCCCTTTACTTCCCTATTTGTATTTTTTTTTTCTGTTCAAATCAATGCAAAAAAATTTATTTTAAGATTCTTCACAATCTTTTTGGGGGAACACTAGAGGTGTTACAAAACCAGAAGGACATAAATGTCAAAAGGAAGATGACTTCTGTTGCATAACTCCTAAGGGACTGTCAGAGTAACACAATCATAATCCCCAAAGCACTAAATTAAAAGTCTGCCTCCCATCTTAGACACTTCAGTCAAAGATGGAAGACTTAAAAAAATGCACACATCCTCATGAAACAACTAGTTTACTGAAAAATATCTTGGGAAAAATTACAAGTTTATGGAAGACATTATTTTTACACTAAAATGAAACTATGAAGGAGAATGCAAATGCTACATGAATGTTCAAAAGAAAGCCCAGTGATTTTTAGCTGTCAGTTCACACTGTGCCCAGACTTCTTGAGGCTACACACTGTCTCTACCCGCCTGGAAGCCACTTTGGTAGGAAATGCTAAGGCCTGCTCTGGGTGAAGTAAATAGAACAGCCTGCAAAGCAAAGAATCCCTCTGCCATGTTGACTATTAGGTCAGCAGTTGCTGAGTTTCTGATGAGTGCTTGGCTCTGGACCAGAGGCCAGGGGTGCCAAGATGTCTAAGACACTAACAGTGGCCTTGGGCTCAGGCTTTCCTTGTCTAGTGGGTGAGACCTGTGTAAGCAGTGAAGTATGACACATGCCAGAGCAGAGATATAGGCTGGAGCCTTTGCATCTTGAAACAGGAGAGGTATGTGTGTCCAGCAGGGAAACCATCAAGGTACTGGCATGATTCTACTTCCTCCAACACTTCCTTGAACTTCTCTGCCTGGCCATACCCCTCTTTCCTATTTTTATGTTTTAATTAAAGAAAATTTATTTTAATTTTAAGATTCTTCACAGTTTTTTGAGAGAGAGAGAACTAGAAGTCTTATGAAACCAGAAGGACATAAATGTCAAAAGGAAGAGAATTTCTGTAGTATAGCCCCTAAGGGACTGTCTGGCTACAGAATGACTGACGTTTGTTCCCCCAAAGCACCAATTAAAAGGCTCACATCTTAGTCAATACCACATTATTGTCTTCTAATGAAGAAACGAATGTTAGATGATGTTGTGTATCCATAAGCCTGCTAACCATATCTTTTAAAGATGTTTTTAATGCTCTTTGGCTTCTTTGCTTTTTGTGTGGCCATGTCATCCTTTGATTCTTGTTCTGACTTTACACAGTTGCTTTGGTGTTTTTGTTTGTTTGTTTGTTTTTGTTCTTTTTTTTTGGTCAGTCGTGGGGCCTGAACTCTGGGTCTGGGCGCTGACCCTCAGCTCTTCAGCTCAAGGCTAGTGCTCTACCTCTTGAGCCACAGTGCCACTTTCGGCTTTTTTTCCTTATGTGGGACTGAAGAATCGAACCCAGGGCCTCATGCATGCAAGGCAAGCACTCTTCCACTGAGCCACCTTCCCAGCCCCTGGTGTTTATTTTTAAATTATTTTAAGACTAATTCTCTGGGAAAAATCTTTGGTTTGACAACACACTTCTTTTTTTTTTTAACCTCAAGATGAGTATGGAGTTTATGGATTCTGTGCCCCCATTATGATCCCATTGTGACCAAGGAATTACCAAGTGTGGCTCTTTTAATTCTAAATCCAGACAGGTTAGCATGCCTCAGTTTCTTTCACTGACTTTTAAAAGCATGGTGACATTTTTTTACTTTTCAACTTTATCATTTAAGGTTCAAGGCTTTCCTCAGTCCATAGGTACCTAAGAGAACATAGTAACTATGTAGTGTCTGGCCCCTTTGAAGGGATAACTGTAGTGGACAGTAGTATGCTGAAAAAAAACTCTGTTTGCTTCTTCACTTTAGGACCTACCTGCCACTGACCACACCTGTGGTACTGGTGTCTGAATTGTCCAGGTGGAAAACTCCCCAGGCCTTTGAGATATGGCTTAGTCCTAAATTCTGTCCTGCTAGTACCTGGGTTTTGCTCAGTTATCCTTAGCCCAATCTTCTTATCCCTGAACCAGGAAGAATTTTGTCTTGCTGTTGACCTCACAGGGTGATTTAAATCAATGATTGTATACTTACTTTAAGAAAGATCTAAGGATTTTACTCTTTTAATACATCGTCAGTTCATAGATCTCATTCTCCTCTCCTCCTTGGGCAAAATAGGAACATTTGAGGGGCTCTTTGGAGATTCTGAAGTATAGGATTTTCTAAGAAATGAACAAGAGGAGCGTACTTTACTGTACTGTGTGCAGGCCAAGAAATGGCCATGGAGGGTGTGATAGTTCTTTTTCTGCTGTACAGTATTGTACAGATCTAAATGATTGTTATTCTTGATAATTTTTTCAGAAATGGAGGGGCGTGGCATTTCTGAGACATGATGGGTAGGTGCCCCAGCTTAGAGTCCAGTAGCCATGATGTGAGTATTCTATGTTTTACCAGTTGTGAAGTTTGGGAAGAATCCTTACCTCCTTGAGATTTTACTTTATTCATGTATATATCTGTTAATTAATCTAGTAGTGTCACAATAAGGCTTCAGTGAAGAGAACAATATGGAGTGTTCGGTCTTTCGTTTGTATAATGGCTTCAACAAGAAAAGGTATGGGATTTGATACAATAAAATTATCTAATCACTTCAGCCCTTTTAAACCAATTCATAATAATTGGTCAAGTTAAGTCTGCAATAGAGAGAAGTCAAAGTTATGTGGTTTTTTTTTTTAGTACTGAGGAAGAAATCAAAGTTTTCAAATGTGTTATTTTATAGGTGGGTGTGTATGTTGATGTATATAGCATGAATGATACAAGCCAATGTTTATAAAGAATATTACTATATAAGTCACTTCCTATGTGTGCTTTTAAGACTAGATTGAGATCGTTTATAGTTTACCTAAATTAAAACTTTCAACTAACATCCTACAAAAATATTTGAAATACTTTCTGAATCAGAACTGGTATATTTCTAGGTAATAAATGCTCTTAATGAGCAGCTTTTATAACATAAAACATTGCAAACCAATATAGAGCAAGTGGAGAGGGAAGGTAGTGATGGTGTTGATTGGACTGAAGACTGTTTATCAGCATTTTACAGAATGGAAATCATGCTTGGATCATGAGCATTTATTCCCTGGCCCATTTATATTCATATTGTAATGGAACAGGCAATTGATAATTTCTTCTTGACTAAT